CCCGGGCTGGGAAAGCGCGTGTGCCACCCGCGCCCCGCTCCGCCCTCGCCGCGCAGCCGGCGCCCCGGGGAGAAGCACGGACCCGAAGTACTGTACTGCCCGCGTCTGGGCACACGGCTACCAGATAACCTGTCGGAGTTACCGCGGCTGACAGCCGTTGCGGGAGGGCCTGCAGTTGGTGCATGGCGGGACTGCAGCTCTTTGGTGTGGTTTTAGGGCCTACGAGGCAGTTTCTTGTTCAGGAAGATGGAGGCAGGAGCTTCTGCTCGCTAAGAGAGTACTCATAGTAGGTAACAGTCCTGCGGAAGCAGGTGGAGGAAAGGTGTAACCTAAAAGGACCTCTGTAAACCATCTAGTCCATCCTCTTGCTCTGCAGAGGTGTCTAGACCATCTTTGACAAATTTCATGTAGTTTGTCGTAATTCTACCGGTAAAAGAGATTCCATAACTTCCGACCTGTTCCATTACTTTCATTAGGAAAAGTGTTCTAATATAAAAACAATGGCTCGTTACAGCTTCTTTACATAAAAGTCATTCTTAACTGTTTCTCCAGTGAAACAATTGGAAATGATGAATGACTATCTGCTTTGTAATGACCTTTTCCATTCTGGGGAACTGCTATGCTCTTCACAAAGCCCTGTAGATGCTGTGGTGTTCACAGATCAGTGCCACCAGATACCACTGAAGCAGCAGCAGATTCATGTGGGCCGGCGAGAGCAGCCCACAATTTGCACATAAAGAAAGAAGCCTTTCTAAAGCTGAATGGCAAGCTTGCTCAGGCCCTTGACTTTCAAAGGAGAGTGATGAGAGAAGACAGTCTAGAAATCTGTTTCAGTTTCCTGATGGAAATTGAGGCCCTAGATTCTTGTAGATCTGGAAGAAGCGCAGTGGTGATGGAGAGTTTTAATTTCATGCGAGGCCCCACAGTGGATTTCATGGATAGGGTTCCTCAACCATGGAGGGCATTCAAGGCTGTTTGTACCACCACTTAAAGCCAACAAAACATTAACAAAAAAGAACCATACTCCATTTAGTACTTATGAAGCCTTTTAGGTTCGCAACGTGCACTGGTATGTAATGCTGGCGTATTCTGGAGCTCTGGCCTTTTCCAAATGTAGAACTAGTCCTTTGTTTCCCCGTGTCAGTCATCAATGCATTACTGGAATTCCCAGACAACCCATTTATCCATATACTTGCCTTTTTTAAACGAAGGCATAGTCTGATTTATGCCTTCTGCTAGCCAGCACATTTATCTGGAAGGGGCAGGTGACATGTAACTTCCAATTTTCTGAAAGGCATCTCTTTTGAAAGATAAATGGGAAACACTTGGCACGGGCCGGGCGATACAGTTTTGGAGAGGCAGAACAGCCTTGGAGATAACATAAGCAGTTTCCTCCCTGAGTCTCAAGGCGGTTTTCTACACCTTGCAGTACAAACCAAACAAATGGCTTGTTTCCACTGCACATAATGCTGAGTGCAGTCATTTCCACTCTAAAAAAACCTACGGCAGTGGAATTGGCATGTGTCTAGGGCATGCCTTTGTTTTCAACGGATTCTGGATCAACCGGTGTAGAGTCAGACCAGCTGGCCAATGCTCTGATAGCATTCAAGGCAAGGCCTCATGAGGCTTACTGTAATTAAAAGGCTCAAGACAGCTATGCTGAACTGACAGACAAGGTAGTTTGAACACACATTTCATGGCCATCCATGCTGCAAGATATCTTAAGGAAAGTGTTACTAAGCCTATCGTCCATAGAAACTGGGACGTTCGTGAACTCTAATTGTCCCAAGGCAACTGAGGAAAGCAAATGTGGCATCTCTCATAACTATGGGTAGGTCGTGCAGTTTTTTTCTTCTGTTGCCATCCCGAACATTACAGAAACCTTTTAATGCTCTTTTGCTTCTCTTCTCTGAGCTTTGCATTAGGTATGTGGCTGAAGAGAGAAAGTAAGATGGCCACATTTACACAGAATTGTGTGGTTAAAAACATCTCAGTCATTCAGTGATTTACCAACAAGTACTAGGAAAAAAGACAAACATTTGTTTGTTCGTGGTCAGAGGTCAGTGTTGCCAGTTATGACATTCCTTCTTGAAATGAATAAGGAAAATAAATTGGTCCAAAAATGCAATCTGAAGTCACAGAGAAATCTCTTTAATTCTGATAAAGAAGAACGGAAGAATATCCTGAACTGGAGATAAGGTCATTCATTACAGTTCTAATGCTTTTCACAATAATGCATTTCTGTGAGCAGTTTTCAATTTTAGTATCAACTAAGATAAAATAACCCCATTAGTTCTTTTTTTTCCCTTTAACTGATACTTTCACTAATTTTGACCAAACTCTCATTTACTTTGTACCAAAAGTCTCAACCATCTTATCAAAATAGAAAAAATATAAGCACGTAGAATTCCAATTGCACTTTGTTTGCATGTAGCTGTTTTTATTGTCAGTTGGATAAAAACTGCTGTTGCCAACTGCATTTGTGAAATTTTCAGATTCTGTTGCATCACCAGAAGGTGATGTAGGTGTTCCTAAATCAAACAGTATTGAAACTCCGCAGCACTAGACGAAGGCTACCTGGAAAACTTACCTGTTTTATTTATCGTAACCAATAAAATCACAAAAAGCTTATGCCCTAATGGGAAAGTGACTTAATACGGAGATATTTTCCTGGTGTTTGAAGACTGCATCACAGTAAGTTTTGCTACAGAGCTTTTAAGTTCTCCACTCCTTTCCTTCCACCCATAAAGTCCCACTCCAGTTAATTGCTAGATTTTTGTTCACATTTTTAAATGTTAAAAAGTCTGATTTTTGTTTATGTTTTGTTTACAGTTTTGCCACCTCCCTGTTTCCCATGAACTGCAAGCTCTGTGCGGACCTACACTGTGGTGGGAATGAGCGTGATGGCACTGTGTTTGTCCACAGCTAAAGACACAGCTGAGACCTCAAGAGATGAGTGTGTCCTCACACAGGAAGTTTCCAGTTCCAGAGATGAGTCAATGCTGAAACGTTAATTCTGGGCTCAGCATCCTACCCAGAGCACTGTAGAAGTAGAGGATCACTGGGAAAACCCTAAGCGGATATTTGTTCATAATCTTTCCGTAATCTATGTATTAACCTGAAGCTAAAGCACTAGCTGGTCTGCTTGATCCCACTACTGTCTGACAGCTGTACAGATGATTTTGCAAGGAGAAGCCATGGTTTTAGCTAGTTTTGCCCAACAGTACAACAGAACTTCTATTGCATTTCACTGAAACCACAGAGGGCTGAAGTGGAAGAAACTGCAGCAGTGTGCAACCAGCACTGCTGCACAGGAGCATGCGGAAAAGTGCCGAATCCTCTTGGGGAACCTGAGTGTGGGACAAGCTGCGCAAAGGGACTTGGGAACCACCCTTGTGATAGATGCAATTTTTCATTGTAGCTAAGTTCAGAAGATCTTCTGAAGTCTTGCCTTGACATTGGGGTGTGGCTGTCACAGTGGTGGTTACTTTATAGTTATTTTTTGGCTTTAAAATATCTATTAACATAATAGGATTTCTTTTTTGAAAAATAATATATGAATTATGGATGATATTTATCCCCTGGCTGTTCTTCTCTTCAGCATGACCTTTTGATAATTTGCGTGTTGCAAAGTATATTTGTCTGCAAGCAGGTGGCTAACTTCAATGAGATTGTTCCAGGAATCAAATGTTCACAGAATCACAGAATGGTTGAGGTTGGAAGGGACCTCTGGAGATCATCTAGTCCAACCCCCCCCTCCCCACCCTACTCAAGCAGGGTCCTCTAGAGCATATTTCCCAGGATCGCATCCAGGCAGGTTTTGAATATCTCCAGGGAAGGAGACTCCACAACCTCTCTGTGCAACCTGTTCCAGTGCTCTGTCACCCTCACAGGAAATAAGTTTTTTCTCAGGTTCAGATAGAACTTCCTGTGCTTCAGTTTCTGCCCGTTGCCTCTTGTCCTGTCACTGGGCACCACAGAGAAGAGACTGGCCTCATCCTCTCGACACCCTCCCTTCAGATACTTGTACACACTGATGAGATCGCCTCTCAGTCTTCTCTTCTCCACGCTGCATCCTGGTAGCCCTCCGCTGGACTCTCTCCAGGAGTGCCATGTCTTTCTTGGACAGGGGAGCCCAGAAGTGGACATAGTACTCCAGGTGAGGCCTCCCCAGGGCTGAGGAGAGGGGCAGGATCACCTCCCTCCACCTGCTGGCAACACTCTGCCTCATGCACCCCAGGATCCCATTGGCCTTCTTGGCCACAAGGGCACGTTGCTGCCTCATGCTTAACTTGTTGTCCACCAGGACTCCCAGGTCCTTCTCTGCAGAGCTGCTTTCCAGCAGGTCAACCCCCAGCCTGTCCTGGGGCAGGGGGTTATTCCTCCCCAGGGGCAGGACCCTACACTTGCCTTTGTTGAACTTCAGGAGGTTCCTCTCCACCCAGCTCTCCAGCCTGTCCAGGTCCCCCTGACTGGCAGT